TCATTGCACTACAATCGATCCTATCAACCAACCTCCTTAATTTTGCAGAAGCTGTTTTTTTTCTCCTACGTTTTGTTTTCTTTTTAAGCGGGGGCCCGCTGAACTTTGCCCCCGTTTTAATGGTAGGAGTTTTTTTTCACGGCTTCCTCCTTAGTTCACCATGCGTTTTCAGAGTGTTGACTATATTCTAAAACGCCGATATGTTGGTGGGTATGAATTTTATCTGCCAACACTACTAAACGCTCCCGCTCCCTGTTTCACAGAGAGCAGCATTTATCAACTTTGTATTTATTTTTCCACAGCACGATGAATTAATCTACCAACACTACTAAACGCTCCCGCTGCCTATGTGGTTTTTCACGAGCATTTATCAACTTTGTATTTATTTTTCCACAGCACTAAGTTTGCAATGACTAGGAATCTACCAACACTACTAAACGCACCCGCTGCCTATGTGGTTGTTTCACAGAAAGCAGCCTTTATCAACTTTGTATTTATTTTTCCACAGCACTAAGTTTGCAATGACGAGGCCCTTCGGGCCTAAAATATAAAATAAATAAATTTTATTTATCTATTTATTACCGCCGATCGAGGCCGACAATTGGAGTCTAGACTTTTTAACAGTCTTACCGACCTACTCGGATGCTCTGGCATACGCACGACAGCCTATCACCCCTCATCAAATGCTTTAGTCGAACGTTTCCATCGTCAACTCAAAGCCTCGCCCCATGCTCATGGCAATCCTTCCCATTGGAGCGAGCATCTACCTTTGGTCATGTGCAGTATTCGTACTGCCCTCAAGCCCGACTTGGAGTGCTCGTCTGCCGAGCTTGTTTATGGCATTACCCTACGGATTTCTGGCGATTTTTTCGGGCACCCTCAAAGCTCAGCGGACTTGGATCCCACGGATTATGCTTAAAGACTGCGCTAAGCCATGTCTCATCTTCATGAAATTCCCCCACGCGTTTCAAAAACTAAGTCATATATCGGCCCTAACTTACTAACATGTGCCT